GGGTTCCTCTCTTGTTTGCTGCCTATCCTGAAGCTTGGCTGTCCCAGATCCTTCTTTCATTGACTTCAGCTCTCAATACTTCCACTGCCCTATGCTATGTTTTCCTGTGGGGCTGTTGTGATGCCCACAGCCAGAGTATATATCCTGGGGGGATCAGAGTACCAGTAGGCACACTTGCCTTAATGTATTATTTAACTCATTAAACATGTTGGGTATACATTACCCAACAAAGTATTTCTTTAAATTTGTGCTCCACCACTTACAGTAATCCTGTTTTTGAACAGCTGGCTTCAACTATCCCAACTCCGCTTCCCTGAACTTCCTGTCTAGTACACGATCACAAGGGTCTAAGCAGTCTCCAGCAGTTTGATATCTACTAGCTTGGACAAGGGAGGAGTGGGGAGCAGGGGAGGGTCTTGCCTTGCTCTCCTGTGTGTTTGTGGAGACAAACACAGCTTACAAGCACACACAAGGGTGGCTCCAAAGGACCATGCAAGGGAAAGGATTCAGCCTAAAACAGGACATCAGGATCAGCACTCCAGGGACCAGTTGATTCTACAGAAAACTAAAACTTTTGAAAATCAAGGAGCAGCATTCATTGTAAGTGATGTAATTATCATTTGAAATAGAGTAGCTTAAAAACCTTTTCCCTGAGTATCACGTTAAGAAAAAGATCACTGATAAAGGTGAAACATATCATCATATTTACTCAGGCCAGGGAGTTTGCATATGCAGTCTTATACTCTGACTGGCCACACCTTATTGAAGTAATATAGTGCTTAAAATATTGGTAAGGGTTTATATTTGCATGCATGTTTTTAAGGATTATGAAATACACATTTGCTATTTTAGAACTGTCATATTTAAAAAAAAAAATGTTTTATGTGAAATAAGAAAATCTTTATTGGTTATATATTTTTTTTATATTTTGTAGTATATTTCCTTTTTGTATTTCCACACACATTAGAGGTCGATCTTCATTCATTTATTTTCTTACATGTTTGAGGGCTGCAGTAAATGGACAGTGTAAGCACAAAGTGGTTAGTGCGCGACTCAGTAACACCTGTACATAGCAGGATGAAGTAACAACATACATGTCGGCTGTGTATGTGAGTGACCTGGAAGCATGCATTTCATATGAGAAATTTTCTTTTGTTAAAGGTCACACTAGATTAGACTCAGGTTGCTTGTCTATGTAAAGATGACATTTCTCTCACAGTGCTCAGTAGTTTTCACAGCAGACTTTATATCTCTGGACAATTGGAGGAGTGGATTTGAAGCAAGTCTTTTGCTACCTGAATGCAAATAAGCTTATGTGGACCTACATGCACGACCGTTGCAATATATAATTTCCCCTGGTTTTCACACAGCTAGAGATGAAGATATCCTGAAAATATAAAGGTTACGTTTAGTACCCATAGAAGCAGTGAGCTCTACTCTCTTTGGGTCTGGATGATTGCGGGGGTACCCAGGTCAGCTTGGTTGTTAAAGACAGATCTGTTGGTTTTACAGTGGGTGGTCTGTTTTGTGCGAATTATGTGGATCTTTATATATAATGATGTGCAAATAAAAGTGTTTGTGAAATGCAATATAGCTTCATTTTTGTGCTTAGTATATAGTATTGAGTATATTATTTGTGAAGTAAGCACTACAACTACTACTGCAAAACACAGATGTAGAAAAAGTAAATTGTTTAACTGGGAGAGGTGAAGTGGTGGTTATATTACATTTATGAGATGTGCCAACAGTAAGCAGGTCAAGCAAACATCTGGCTACACATTGGTCCATGCAAATCACCTAGAACTGCATACAAAAACTGTGCTATAAAAAAGCTAGAAAGGTTTTCATCATCATTACAGCCTTTCATAATATAATGTTTTTTTCAAATGCCTAAACATTCATTGGAGAAACCGCTCTTAGAGAGCATATTTCATTGCAAAACATAATAAAGCCTGTGCTTCTATGGGAATATAACAGCAGATTTGTTTAGGAGCTAATTAAGTTTCATACACATGGAGTTTGGGGATGATGCCAGGAATATCAGGTTAAACACACACACAGATTAATTTCTATGATACATTACAGTCAGTCAGATACACTAAACTGTCAAAGTAAAATGAGCAGAACAGCTAATAGGATCGATGCCATTAGAATTTTAAAAATGTTCTTCACCCTGTAATTGAACAGGAGAACCACTGAGGATCTAAACAGGCAGTATGCTTCTGAGAAAAACCTGATGCCAGAAAAACAGCTGGTCTGTGTTAGCATCATTCAATGATCCATACCGTGGTGCACCCAGTACATTGCGTGGAGAAGAAATAGCTGTGTAAGCCTCAATAGCTCTAGTGCCTCAAGCCACTGCTCATCTGTAATCTGACCTAGGTCGTCGGTCCATTTTCTTTAGCAATGTGATATAAGAGCTGGTAAAAAGAGTAGTGCATATTTTGGAAATGAGGCTTCTTGCATGAAAAGTTGGATGTGAATGATATATAATTTCTGTTTTATGTATGGTTAATTTAGAAAGATTTTGTTGACTATTAAGATCTTGGGAGGGAGGACCCTGATTGTAGTTGCTGAGGCAATTTAAGTGTATCAGCAAGATATAGTTAAGACAGATGGGTAATTTTTGTTTTTTCCACAAGTCTAATAATGCTGTACTAGGTAGTACAGCCAGGGGTTAGTTAGTTAGTAACTGCCAATCCATCTTACTCTTAGAAATTAAATGTTTCTAATTTATGATAGCCATATAATTTTAATAAGGTTTGCCCAGCCGACTACATTCAGGGGGAGGGGGGCCTACTTTTAGACTTTTCTTCAAACCAAAGACTGGAGGCAAGCGGAGTAAGTTATGCCTAACACAGTCCCAAGGGACTGTGAAGATTATCACAATCAAGTAGCAGAAGGAGTCAACAATCCTAATTTGCTGTTGCCTATCATGGACTGGGTGGGGCAGTGGGTCAAGTGAAAGTAACGTAGATTGTTAGACCCAGGAATCTACCAAAGCTTCGTTATGTAGTCATGCCAATGAGTTGTGTCTCCTACAAAGAGGAGGGCATCATCTGTGTATAGAATTGTTTTATTCTTCCCGTCATGACTAATGAATCCAGTGATATGAGGGTTTTGTCTGACAGCCAGTGCAACAGGTTTAATAGCTCTTGAGGTCTCACAGGTGTGAGAGCAGACAACCTTGCATAATTCCTCTCCCCAGATGGAAGAGGGTTGCCAGGGAATTATTATTAAGAACTCTAGCTGTTGGAGAGAAGTTATAAGTTGTATCCATTTGTTACATTTTGGGCCAATCCCCATTGTGCAGAACACCTCCCACATATATTCCCATTCAATACTGTGACAGCAGCCAGGTCCCAAGCCGGCTCTAAGTATTGGGAAGAGTATACTTTATTCTCCCAGTACTTTTTGTTTAATTTAGAAATTGTAAGATCAGAGTCCGTTGCCCAGTGTCAATTTAGGGAATATAACAATCATGTTTCCATAACAGTGCTATGAGTTACAGATGCACCAAGATTATGATAGAAGAAGGAAGCTGGGAGCTGGCACCATCTTTGTCTGCTTGATCAGTGGTATATTTTGTTCTCTTGCAGGCATGCAATGGCCGTCTGATATCTGGCCATTAAAGTCCACGTCCTGTAGCTTTAGCAGGAGAGAGGCATAGATAACAGTCTGAGTTGGTAATGATACAAGATGACAAGGAAAGTCTTGGTGATACCCTCTTGAGAAGAGGCTTGACCACAAAGTCAAGGACATTAGTAAGCCACTAAAACAGTCAAATAAATAAAAATGAAAAGAAACAAATAGAACAGTAGACCTAACCCAAATTGTTCTATAAAATGTAGGAAGATCAAATTGGGTTACCAGTGGGGGGAAAAGTGCAGTTTGAAATATCATGTAGCGCAATTCATTAGCTGTTTGAAAGCCTGTGTTACCATCACTGTCCAACATAAGGGAATGGTAGGTGCTTGGTAGTAGTTAATCAGGAATGTGCTGCAGGGTTTTGTATTTCAATCTAACCAGGTTAAGACAGCAGCTTAATGAGAAAAGGTCTATGTGAGGCGGCAGCTTAGGAGCTTAATGAGAAAGGATCAAGTTGGATTGCTCTGTGGAAGTGGACAGCCAGGCACCCTGTGAGCCCTCTTCACCACAAAATGCACTAAAAGATATGCGCTGAAAAACTTAGAGTATAGCCAATTTTCTATGAATTTTGGGGTGGACTTACAGTTTCATATCATGCATGCTGGTGTTAGACAGTAACAGGGCTACATCGTATTTCAACGGTATGGCATATTCTCTAAGTCTCTGACCCTTCCTTGCACAGAGGACATACATACTCTAATTTTCTGGATATCATGCCTTGAAAGGGTAAGACTCTGTATCTGTGTTGTGATAGAGTCATTTCCTTTAATAACAGCCAGGTGCACTTCAGACAGGGTGGGTTCAGACTGGGCATCAGAGTTAAGTGGAACAGGAGACAGCAACATTTTCAAGATCCCCGCAATTAGGCCTCTTATGCCCTTCATACTGCAAAGTGCCCTAGTTTGGCAGAAGCTTTCTTGCTTTTAATGGTGTGGGAGCTAGCACTATCTTGGGCCACACAATCAGCATTAGTTATTTTTCTTGCCGTCCCCCTTGATGTGTGGCAGCAGTGGACAGGAGGGAAGATTCCAGTTTAATTCAGATCCCAGAGTGGGTTTGTTTACAATGGCAGTAGGCTAAATTACAGGAGTGGCAGCAGGAGCTGAGCGGAATGCATCTGGCTAAAATTATAGATGGCCATATCCCCAGTATAGGTGTACTTATATAGACAGGTGTTTTAATACAGAACTAAAAACTGAATTTGCTTGTCACCACACTAAGAAATTGTCATCTAGATAAACCCCATCCTGTAGTAAAAATTGACAATAATGCACTTAAAAAAAATTCAATAGCCACCGGCCTAATCTCAGAATAAATCACTTTAAGAAAAAAAAGTCCTGTTTAATACTTACGTTACAGACTTCTCGAGACGACTTCCTTGAGATCCAACTATTTCACCCAAAGTGCAAAACATCTGTCCAAGAAAATCCTGTAAAAAATAAAGGAGATCAACATCACTGGGGTATACAACAATTTACACCATAATGCATAGCTCATAACAGTAAGTAGTTGAAGCTAGAATATTTTACTGTCCAGAAAAGGTATGCTACATGACTTAAACTTGTGTGTATTCAGTTCTTGTTTGCTAAATTGATAATTAAGTAATTTGCTGCAATAAATGTACAACGTTTACTTAGTAGGACATTGCTATGGTATACACTATAGCCAACTAAGCTGTATTTTTCTTTGAGTCAAGTTCTATATTTAAATCATTCCGTTATATCCGATGTATCATCAGGGCTTCCTTAATTAGCCTAACAATTAACAGAAGTTCCATGCTTGTGACACTCCATAATTTGGTGGGCTTTTTTCTGATAATGCTAGTATTTATGAATCCCATGAACCAAACATCTGGAATAAGATCTGGATATTCCCAGCTTCGATTAACCTCTTTGCCTCCGGAGCAATTTTCTCATTTTTTGCACATACAATATCAGAATTTCTGGCTAGAAATTTATTGAAAAACCCCCCATACTTTCTGAAAGCAGGGGCCCTATAGAAAAAAGGATGCACGTTTTGCACAGCTGTTTATCAAAAGAGTATTCTCAGTAGAAAAATATAGTTAATTGAATTTTAGTGCACACAAACACAGTACAATCCCTAATTTGCATACAAAATAAAAGATGAGGTTGTGTTGAGTAAATAGATACCTAATATTGCACGCCTCAAAATGGTGTGAGCCTGCGAAACAATGAAAAGCTATAATACTCAAAATTATCAATAGGCAGCGATTTTAATGCCTCTACAACTGATTAGTTTTCTGTTAACTGTAAATGAGGAACCTGGAATTATCTCTCTTACTCAATGCAGCCATGAACTTGTTTTGACCCTTTCAATGCCTAAATGTACAGGGCATGCCCAATGAGTTGAAGTGGCTAAGTAAAGGAATAGGGTGTCTATAGCCTAGGAAAAAACAAGGTGAATTATTTTTCCACAGGTCACAGTGTTAGCACTTATCAAAGTTTTCAAATCCCCAGGCAATCACGCTTTTTGCATCCTGAATCTCTTTCCTTTTTTTTCTCTGCATTACTGCAGAATCGGTCTTCTCTGTTGTAATCCAGTTTCCATAAATTGTACACCCCTCAGGGTGTTTTAAAATAAATAAACAAATACCATCACTGATTCATCCTGTGGTCCAATCTAATTTAGGATTGTGAAATTTTTCTAATTAGGTAAACCAGTTGCCAAGATGTTAAACTGCGAAACTGAGTTATAATATTTTAAGCAACTAAACATAAAACATGCCAACCCACTGCATGTAAACACATATAAATCAACCTTACACATTCTGCAAACAAACTGAATATCAGTTTTAGCAGTATCTGTAATTTGTCAGGCTTTGGTCAGATATTTAAGGTTAGATTTTAAATTATGTTATTTTGGCAAGATCATGTTCATTAAATAACACAAGAAAACGATAATTGTATATTAAAACAGGAACACATAAACAGACAAAGTAGCAGCATGGATTACGTTTCAAGGCATGCATCTATTTGCAAAAGAGGCAGAATCTATGAGGACTTAAGGGTGTGAAAATGGTTTTGAAAAAAAGAGATAATCATACTGACCCATGTCGATCAGATTTCAACCCATATTAGACCTGACACATTTGGTAGGCCAGTCCACTATTTTCTTGCAATATATACATATAAAAAGGTGTTCCTTCCTGTAAATTGCGGTATCCAATGCATCTTTACACATGAAGGCTATTCATGAAAATGTATGTAACTGTATTTCCCAAAATCAGACATGGCTTGTGGCCATATGTAAAAAAAATGTACACATATAATGAAATATAAACATTACACCTATACTGTGTCTAATGGTTATTAGATATATTAGAATGGTATTTAAAATATGTTTCTCATAAAATACATATCTCAGTTAGAAGCAATAGGAGTGATGCTGTTGTAAACAATTAGCCAGACCATTCATGCATACATGATATTCATTTTGCAAAATAAGATTACTAATATCACCAATATAAAATCTGGGTTAATACTAGAGATGTTCAGATAGCTAGTACCGTACTCGGTACAAGTACATGTAGAGATACTTTTCCAGCTCCAAGACTAGACTAGAGAAAAATTCCAATGTCAGGAGGCAGCTGTTATTTTAAGGAGCATTCGGAGCTCCTGGGATTTGTGCATCTCTGTTTTAAAGTATACTGATGCAATTTTTTCAAGCACAAATACTGATACTTGTCCAAGTACTCACAGATACAAGTATTGATACATTTTTGTTTATTGTCATGTGAAAGTTTTTCTAAAACAATATAGACTATTGGTTTCAGGACAGTAGTGGAGTGCCAGAGCCAAGTCCCAGCTGCAAGCGCTACAACCCTGGTAGTTCTCGTGAAAATGCCAAGTATCGGCACTGGTATCTGAACTGGTATCTGAACAACCATACTTAATACAGTCTATCAATAATGCTACATCAACCTAAATTTCATATCCATACAAAAGGAAATACATTTAATTCAATAAATCATGATTTATTATACCAGATAACCTCTTCTGGTGCAATATGGGTGATACTATATTTATTTTATTTAACATATAATCAAACAGGTCAAAAACATAAAATAATTAATCTACTGGCGATATTCCAAAGCTGAAGTGATTGGAGGAGACAACGCCAAGATGAAGCTTTCATAGTGTCACACGACGGGGAAAGGTTAACTCTATCTAACCAAAGGGGTTTTCGTACTTGATTTATCTCTAATTCAATGTTACAACTGAATATTTCTAGCCAGCCAGAAAAGAGATATATCTAATGACAGCATAGTCCATATTACTAAGGATTATGGTGAAATGATGCCCCTGCCTGCCTCCTCTTTTCTTCTGAGCAAAGAGCAAGGTTAAATGTCAGCTATGGTTGAAACTTATAACAAACTACATGTACCTCAATGTGAACTTATGATAATATTAAAACATGGACAAATCTAAAAGAAGGAAACCAGAAAGAAAAAAATCAGATCTAAATGTCATCAGCAGAAAAATAAAAAATAAATCTTGCTATACATTAATTGAGAAGCACAGCAGATGATGTCAGGAATTATGCTAAGGGCTTTTAATAATTACAAGATCTTATTTTATACTTCCAGATTTTTATCTGAAATTAATATAATTACACTTTAGGAATTAAGAACATTTGCTACTGTATAATTGGTTTCCATTGTTTCTTGCTAGCTACGTGTTCTTCTTAGGATAATGTATACTGCAATTGTGCATGAGCACTGCTTTCTATATATGACAATAGAGGTGGCTTTTCTACTTAGTAGGGACTTAGTAGGGATGCACAGATACTTTTCGAGTACCAGTGCAGATACTTGGCATTTTCACAAGAACTACCAGGGTTGCAGAGGTTGCAGCTGGGACCTAGCTCTGGCACTCCACCAATGTCCTGAAATCATTAGTCTGTATTGTTTTAGAAAAACTGTCACATTACAATAAACAAAAATGTATCAGTACTCGTACTTGTAAGTACTCGGCAAGTACCAGTACTTGTACTCGCAAAACTGGTATCTGTGCATCCCTTTATTTATACTTATAAAAACAAAATCGTACATTAAAACAGAGATGTACAAATCCCAGGAGCTCCGTGTGCTCCTTACAAATGACAGCTGCCTCCTAATTTTTGAACTTTTCTCTAGTGTAGTCTTGGAGCTGAAAAGTATCGGTACATGTACTCGTGTACATGTACTTGGTATCTGTGCAACCCTAGTTGGAAGTGCAATAAAACTGCAGACATCATACATGTTAGTTCACCTAAATACTTCCTAACATTTTTTGGTAATGACCTGGCAACCTATTGTGATGATAACATAAAAAAACACATGAAAATCAAAGTTTGTTAATTAAAATAATTACTCAACGCTAGATCAGCCTAAAAACTTGGAACTTTAATTTCGCCATTTACAAGTATTTTAGTGATTATGTAGGGATAGGAATAGCCAAATACTGTAATAATTTGAGAAAAAAAAACACATGTAATATGTAAATACAACTAAGCAGAATTCAGAGACTGTAAAGACTGCTGGGGTGAAGAAAACTCAGATAAAAAATGAGCATGCAAGAGGAAAACATTTTCAAGGTAATGACCCAATTTGTGCCTTTCATGATAAATAAAAACCGCACTGGGTGGGTAAGGATTACTCACTGCATTTTCAAACAGTGCTCAAGATGTTGTTTCAAGAAAAAGCAAGGGGTTTTTTGGGAGTGTACATTTAAATATAATGGATTTTATTTTACAATAAAATCTGTTATGCTTTTGCAATTTTTTAATGAGACTATAAAGATGTCTAAGGACTTCCATAGAGAAGATCTTTAAGGCTAGGTTTACACCTAGGTGATTGAGCTGGTGAGCTGCTTTCGTGCGGTTGTCGCATATTTTTGTTTGTGCGATTTTGCTTTGAAAACCACGTGGTTGTCTCACGATTTTCAATGCATAGAGATGTCTATAGGACCCAAATCACACAACAACCGCCTGAAAATAGCTCCTGCACCTTTTTGTGCGACAGGTGATTTCTACCGTGCGACAAGTCGCAAAGGTGTGAGCAGCTTCCAGAGACTTGAATGCAAATCTTTGTTTTGTGCGATATCCTTTTGCCATGCGATAAATTGTCTAGGTGTGGACCTAGCCTTATAATCTTTAACTACAGGAGGTAAGAGCCAACAGTCTTCAAATTGACTTTAAAATAAATATGCCTTTGCTAACCCTGACTTTTATTACCATATCAGGCAACAGTGACTCCTGAAGTATGAACACTGATGTCTTTAGCATGAATGATGATAGATTACTTGCTTATGGCTAGCAGCCACTACTAAAAGCCTAAGGGCAAATTTACACTGAAAAAAGTGATTGATGCCGTAGCTCTTTCTGAATGCAGTTGCACTTCCCAAATGCAGACCAAAAATATGTAATTATAATCTCCCTATTTGTCACAAGGCACACTAGGGCTCTCCTAGATGAATTTTAGGTTCATCAAGTGTCAGTATGAATTTTAATATACAGATTATTAATCTCTAAATGTCTCTATGCATGTGTTATGTTTGTAGATGGTAACAGGAACTGCATTAAGACAGAGATGAGCGCAACAATTATCCCTCATAAATGCAAATTATAGTATATTAACTAGAACTAGATTGAAATGTTTCTTATAGATAAGGGTAGTCATTCAATAATTAATGGAATGCCTTAATGGACTCTTGCTCCTGCTTGCTATGCACACAAAGAGGGAAACTATTGTATACCAAAAACCACTAAACAACATACTTATTATATGAGTACATGAATACAGTTTTCCTTACAAAGTGAAAAGTACCCAATTGGTATTTGAAGTGAAAAAAATACTACAATGAAACTTATTAAGTAAAGACGTCTGGACTAACCACTAATAGGTAAAAAAAAAAGTATTAGTATTATTAATTAATAATAATAATAATTAATAATAAAGTATTATTTCACTGGTATTACACACCGTCCCGCATCCACAAATTCTTCCCCTCTCACTCCCCTCAATGGTTTAGAAATTGTGGATATCTGGGCACTATTAAACATATTTGGTGGGACTGTCCTGAGGCCAAACGTTTATGGACCCGAAGTTATGCTCTAATTAATACTGTATTGAGGTGTAATCTGATCAAAAATCCGTGAGAAGCGCTTCTACATAAGCCCATAATGGGATTACGCAGAAATCAACAATGCTTGATTTTCAACATATCCATGGCCACTAAACAAACAATTGCTAGATCCTGGAAATCCCCTGTGCTTAGTTATATGGAAGTTAAAAACCGCATTTCAAGTGTAATGATTAATGAACAACTCACAGCTATCCTGGATGATTCCTACACTAAATTCGAGAAGATTTGGGAGGCTTGGATCAACTATGATAGTTCGTTGAACTTTGACCCAATCCATCTACAGATTTGATGGGATCTCCTGCGAAATGTGTTATGTGCCTACCCGCCCTATTAAAGTTTAAACCTATTTAATGCTCTATACCCCTTTTCCTGACTTCACTCTACTCCCAATGGGCAGTCCTAGCTCATATTCCACCCTGTTATTGTTCACCCATGTGGCTTAGACATCCGGAATCAGATTACAGTGGTTCCCTCTATTGGGGTGTTATCCACGTAGCCAATGGTTCTATTTGGTTTTCATTCCTAATTGTAATTGTTATTTTTAAAATAATCCCTACAAAATTGTTTGACTACTTTGTCTATGCTTTTAAAATTATTTAAGTTGGTTTTCTGTTTTATTGCAATGTCTATTTGAAAACAATAAAAACATTTGTGGGGAAAAAAACATTTTGTGGGGAAAAAAAAAAGCACGAAAGTTGTCACCAAGACATATTCAAACTGTATAACAGACCCATCCAGCCTATTCCCTATTCATTAAGTTCATTTTTATGGTAGCAGAAATTATATATCTGGAATCATTTTCATTATTTTTACTGGTCTTTTTGCACAATGACTTTGAAAATAAAGTGAAAACTGCAACCAGGTCCAAAACATTTAAAGAGTTAATGTGGAAGTCATTCTCTTTCTTTACATTATCATCTACAGAGTAATTTCACCTCTAATAAAAATGCCTTCCTACATACTTAACAAACTCAAATGCTAGATATCAAAATAATGCATTTAATTGTAGACTATGACAGATGATTTGTAATATCATTAGTTTGTTTAGAAACCTCCACTTAAACTAGTGGTGGTCAACTTACTTAAAACTGGGGGGCCCTGACACCCCTTGTAGGCCCCACACAATAGTCAGAAAATGTAATGTAACACAATTCTGTCAGAGACTGTAGACATTCAGCAGGAGAGGGTCATAGACTATTGGCACGCTACAGGAGATGGTCTGAGACTATGAGCAAGAGATGGTCAGAGACTGTAGACATGCTAGAGATGGTTAAAGAATAAACGAGATGGACAGAGACAATCTTAGCATGGAGAAAGGATACATAACACAGATAGAGATCCCAACTATTACCATACCATGCCTTTACATATGAATGCTTCTACATGTGTGCTTCCTACAGCCCCCGTGAAATGACCTGTGCAATATTTGATATTTACCTTAGCAAAACCCAATGTAAAACATCAGAGGAAAAGACAGCATTAAAGAAGAAAAAAATGGACAGCACAGAAAAACAAAAAGATTCTGGTAAAAAAAAAAAAGCCATTTAACCGCCAGAAGTCAGAGTACAGAATATTTTTCCCAGAGTGACTATTCCCCTTCTTGTTAATGAAGTCAACAATAATCAAGCAATGTAAACTATCTATAATTAAAATTATGCAAATAAGTTGGAACTTTTACAACTAGCCAAAACATATTTGTACTTGATGGGAATAAAAAACGTTTTCCCCACACATATAAGGCATAAATATTAAGCACAGACTGTATAGGGAATGAAAGACCATAAAATTTCAACTTACATGTTTTGCTAAATTGGGACTTTTGCAGTCGACATCATATCTGAAATAAAACAGAAAAGACTAGTTAGCAAATTGTAATGATAACAGTAAAAACAACAATAATAATTACAAACAAAAGCAAAGAAAACAGATAAGACATGCAACTTAAGACAGTTTGTACAGTTATGAAAAAGTTTTTTTGTGTGTGTGTTAATGTAAACTAACCAGATTGGTAGAACACCTATAGCTCCCACATCCCTATTAACAAGGTGAAGGAGAACTGATAAACAAAGTTTTTTAAAAAATGTAGTACCGTTGATATGGCGTACAGCCAGTCATGTTGAAAAACTTGTTTTCTTAGGGCCGGTTCACACCATCTGCACTTGGGTTGCACTGGCCGCTTTTTGTGGTGCAGCCCGAATACAAGATAAGGCAATTTGCCTTGTCATGGATGGGCTCGGTTCAAACCACCGTGTTCTGGTGGTGTGCGCTTAAAAAAGTATGGCATGCAGTACTTTTTTATGCACACTACAGTGAGAAGTAGAACAACTGCATCGCACCTCGGTAGGCTCACAGAACTAAATGAAATTTCACTTGTGACATTTCAATAAAGTTCTGACAAAAAAAGTGTAATGAGGCTTGATCGAGAGCATCGTCACTCTCCGGGTATACGCGCAGCAGTAGCCGTGCAGATGAGTGCGGCTGCTGTTGTGAACGCACCCTTAATATTTACTAGTAAGATAGTTTGTACAGTTATTGTTATAGGTTTTTTTGCTGGATTTTTGTAATATACTGTACATTAGGGTAGACATACTGTACTAGTTTTAAACAGGATTTTAGCTAGCACATGACTGGTTAATTGAAGTGAACACAGCTTTATTTTATCATCTCAGTGAACAATTATTTTGCAAAGTGAACAGTCTCTATACTTTCAGTAGAGTAACCCCTATATACTAGATCCATATTCAAATGCACACTTGTTGTCACTCAGGACCCTATTAACACACATACTGTATATACACCCTCTTCGCAAGGTAAACATTTGTAACAACTGCTGTAAGGATCATGACTATTTTGTAATAAAGCTCTTTATAATATGCATGATGCTGTCCCTGTTCCTAAATATTAAATATTTTAAAAAATGGTTTTCAAACATATCGAAAGTTTATATATTTGTTGTTTTCTTAGCTCTACTTCACCTTGTTGATGGAGCTTGGTTTTCATACCAAAAAAAATAAGTAAGCAAGCCTAGAAAGTACTGATTAACCTGAAATTTGAACAACGGGAAAAATATGTAGATGTGCCAAAAATACTGAAATGCCCTCAACGCATTAAAGGAGCATAGGGATGGGGAGGAGGGGGGCCAGAATGTGAACAATAGATCATTTTCCACTGCCAAAGAGGGAAACGGTTAACAAGGGCAAAAAGTTCCTTATTTTTAAGTATGCAGTTTATTGAATATTTTCTGAAAATTTAACTTACATTTTAAAATGGCAAAAACCCGGTCAGTGGCAACTTAATTAAAATGGCACTTTAAAAAATGTATCATTCCACCACCTTCTCACCCCCCTACCTTACAAAAAAGACCTCAGATGTTCAAATACCATGTATAACAGTGGTACCTGCCCTAGGCAGCAGCTTTGTTTATATTGTAGTACTTCTGTCGAAAAGCACTAGTGATTACCTAATTCGTCCCTGTGTAATATTGTAGTGTAAACACAGCCAAACTGGCCGTGTTTACACAACAATATTACACAAAGACGAATCTGGTGCTTTTTGATTCTTGGCAGACGGCCCTTACATCACTATGGAATATTACTCTGCATGTATAGGCCAGTCTGCCTAAATACACTGCCCTTTCTCATAGTGGCACATTGCCAATACAAGTTATCATTTCAGAGTATGGTGAGTGTCATGCTAGGAATGGAAACACAATTAGCAGTAATTCAAGTATCATGCTTGGTCAGACCTAAGCAATGCCATAAATGAAAACCCATATAGCATACTTTTTAAAAATAACTATTACTTCTAAATGGTTTTTATGAGTTTCCACATATTTTGCAACTATAAATCAAATTGTTAGCTGGTAGATATTTTTCAATTACAGTACCATAATGTGCCAGCTGTATTAAAGATGTTCATGAACTAAAAAAAGCAACATTACACAATGTATTAACTTTTAAATAAAATGTTTTAATAATGCTTCCAGAGATTAAGGCAAAGTGAGCAAAGTGAACAAAATTGATGGGAAAGATGTATGTTATCTGTGAAGCTGAATGTTTGTATAAATTGAAAAACTAAAGGGAATTTATCAAAACTGGAGCAGACAAAATCTGGAGCAGCTGTGCATGGCAACCAATCAGCTTCTTTCTTTCATTTTCAAATCTTAACTGAACAAACTGAAGAGAGAAGCTGATTGGTTGCCCTGCTCCAGATTTTGTCTGCTCAAGTTTTGTAAAATACCTATGTATTTGCAATTTTATCTACATGAAAATGTGGTACAGTATATCCTTACAGAGAGTTATAAATAATTACCTTAATATACAATAAAACTACATAATAACCAATGCATAAAACTGTTAGATCCAAAGATCTGATGTCATATGGCAGGCTGTTCATTGACAACATACAGTTCATGCTCCTCTGGCTTCTTCCCCGGCCAGCATGGCTGGGGAGTGACACTAGAAACAACGCAATGCTCATCACATTAGTTTCAATCTTTACGCGGACAATAGGCAAACAGGTATTTCAAGGTTTCCTAAATTCTTACAGCACTAAAATGTGGTTAAATACTAACATGTTATTTTCCACATGCTATTTAGCACAATGTGTCATTGAATGATGTCAAACTAATGTGTCCTGATCCCTGGTTGGATGTAAGGGAATTCATCATTATATACAGTAAACTCTTTGTTATCCGACATTCCACTAACCAGAACTCTAATCTAACCAGACAAAAAAAATCCCGTGTACTCACTGTTCTGCTGATCTGCAGCATGTACCGTATATACTCGAGTATAAGCCGAGATTTTCAGCCAATTTTTTTGGCTGACTGGAAACGATCGTGTGCTTATTTTCCTTAATTTGTTTTAATGTGTCTATTTGTCTTAATTTGCTTTTGATTACTGCATTTCAAAATGATATTATTTTAAGTCAATACAGAGTTTATGTTATGATATGGTATAGTATGGGGTATGGCATTAGTTAGACCTATTGTTAATAGCAACTCTTAAGCAACCAGAAACTAAATGTTTCTGAAATCTACCAATCCCCATGGTATATCTATACATATATCTATATATGTATAGATATATCTATATATGTATAGATGTATCTATACATATATAGATATATATGTTTATTTTACATTTCCAGCTGTGGGAGTAAAATTACTCTTATTGACAATGTAAAACTAAACTGTTAATATAAATCAATCTTTACACTTGGCACAATGCAGTCAGGCAAGTACCGTTCTCCTGGCAACCATCAAACCCAGACACATCCATCAGATTGCCAGACAGAGTAGCGTGATTCATCACTCCAGAGAACATGTCTCCATTTCTCTAGAGTCCAGTGGCAGTGTGCTTTACACCACTACATCCAACGCATTGCATTGCACTTGGTTAAGGAAGGCTTGGATATAGCTGCTCGGCCATGGAAACCCATTCCATGAAGCTCTTTATGCACTGTTGTGCCAATCTGAAGGCCACACAAAGTTTAGAGGTCTGTAGCTATTGACTCTGCAGACAGTTGGCAACTTCTGCGCTTCAGCATGTGCTGACCCTGCTCTGTAATTTTACGTGGCCTACCACTTCGTGGCTGAGTTGCTGTTGCTCCCAGTTGCTTCCAGTTTGTTATAATACCACTAACAGTTAACTGTGGAATATTTAGTAGCAAGGACATTTTCACGGATGGACTTATTGCACAGGTGGCAACCTATCACTGTACCACGCTTGAATTCACTGAGCTCCTGAGAGGGACCCATTCTTTCACAAATGTTTGCAGAAGCAGTCTGCATTCCTAGGTGCTTGATTTTATACACCTGTGGCCATGGAGGTGATTGGAACACCTGAATCCAATGATTTGGAGGGGTGTCCCAATACCTTTGGCAATATAGTAGATAGATAGATAGATAGATAGATAGATAGATAGATGGATAGATAGATAGATAGATAGATAGATAGATAGATAGATAGATAGATAGATAGATAGATACTTTACATTTAAATCATTTAAAGCTTAAAAGGCTTTGACAGTGTTTGTGTATTACAGTGTTAAATATTGTTACAGAAAACTTTTGAAGGGCAACAGCTTTTAAAGCGGACCTTGGAAGGCTATACATATCCTGCTTTGAGGCTCAGTTCCCTATAGTTACACACTGAGGAAAATAAAAAGGCTATTAAATGCACGTATGTAGTCCTCACACAATGGCAACAACCTTTCACATTGTTTGATATACAAATATAAACTGTTGCACATTGTGTCTAAAATGCCCCAATCTTCCATATAATACATTTATGAATGACTACAGGTAAAAAAAACTATTATAGCCAAACAATCAAAGAACATGCAAACAAAATGAAAACCAAAAGAAAGAATGAAATAAAGAATGTGAGTAAGTAAAGAAAAATTTGATAAAGGGTAGCTGAAAATGGCATAATAAAACTTTTACATTTTAAAACTTTTACTACCTAATACATTATGTCCCATCATTGTCTTGATACACAGTCTGCACATAATTTAAAATTAATTAGGGATCAGAAAGAGAACTTCAAAGACAAAGAACATAAAAAGCACGGCTCCAACACAAGAAATAATGATAGAATATAGTGGTTTGAAATATGAAAATCACATAGCTCAAGTCTTACGTATGCTGCATGGTAAAACATTAGAGAGATAAGAGTATTAAGGAAGCTTCTGTTAAATTCAAGGCATCCCTTTGTATAAAGGTGTACTTATTTGTTACTACAGAAGATCTTAATGTCTTTTCATGCAAAGGAGCACATGCCACCTCTAACATACCATAGGCTCCTGTTTTATTATATCATTGGAAAAGGGGGG